TTCTGTTGGGAAATGTGATCATTTAAGTTTGGTAGTCCTTAAAGTTGTAAACAATCAGAAACATTTCCATTTACAATGTTAAAATGGTCTGAAGTTTAAGTCCGCTGTTAATAGTTTTCATACCCCTGCCTGCCCAGTCATTCCTAATTAAAATCCTGCCTTTCTCACTCTAATTCATACACGTCACACTCGTGCCACCTACATTAGTCACTACAGTGTATATTTGCAAAAGACTGAGAGCTATGGCACCTCTCACAACCTCATAGTGTGGACTCAGGAAACAAACTGGCCTTATCGGGGGCAGGCACACAAAGCTGTCCTGGCTGTGGGGTGGCGAGGTATGCATAAGTGCATGTGTGCATGCGCATGTGTGTGTATGTGTGTGTAGGGGGGTGGCGGTGGGAGGCACTTCCTCCTATTCTTCTGCTGTTGAAGAGTTCCCATGAGTGCCCCAGCCAGGAGCTACAGTGTGGCCTGAGCAGGCCGGGCCAGCGCCAGTCTCGCCTACATGACGCCGCCACACACTCTCACACAGCTGATCTCAGGCGCTACTGCAACAGTTGCTGTTCAGGCCACAAAGCAAGAAGCAGGACATTGTCTTTACTGGATAGAGCAAGTGCAAGAAGAGAGGAGAAGAATGAAAGCGTAAAGGAAAGAAGAAGGGAAGACAAAAATATTAAGAGGAAGACATGAAGCTGTGGATATAATGATGGGTACAGACTCATAAAAACTTGCACACAGGAATATGGATTGATGACTGGAGTCGTTACTGACAAACCTTGAATGGACAAGAGTGCAGCTGAAGGTTAGTCGCAGAGTGTTACTACCAAGAAAATTTAATCAAGACTCATTCGAGGAAAGCTGATGCAGAGTGACGACCAGTTTGGCTGAAAAAAAGTCTCCAAGGACCATTTTCGTTACACACGACAGATTCCTGTTTTCCAGCAGCGTGAGAAACACTATTGTTATCTACAGCCTTCTCAGCTGGACTGCACTACACGCTGCAAGACTGAAGCTAGAGATGATCCATAACACCCTGAAGTCCACTCAGCCGCCGGAGCACAGCCCCAGGAGCACACACTCAGCCGCACAGAGGAAGCTGTGGAGATACTCGGGCTGCAGAGGGGCTGGCCAGGTGGAAAGTCAGCGTCGCAGTGTGTGTGTGCTGGCTGCGGACTTGAACGCTGGAGAAGGAGGAGGGGGAAGAGGAGGAGGAGGTGGTGGAGGAGGTGTGATGCACACTATCCACGGGCTGTGCCACCTGTGCATCGGATGTAGGCTGCCACAGGTGTGTGTGTGTGTGTGTGTGTGTGACAGGGAGAAAGGCGAGGGAAGGGAGGAAGAGAGAGAAAGTGCTTCGAATTTACAGTGTCAACCCGTGATTGTGTGAGATAGAGAGAGAGAGAGAGAGAGAGAGAGAGAGAGAGAGAGAGAGAGAGAGAGAGAGAGAGAGAGAGACTGGGAGAATGAATGAAAAAGTTTGAAAGGTACTGTCTCTGATCACAGCTTGAGTAATTAATTTGTAGAATATAATTTATATTAAAACTGCAAAACAGAAAAGGCTGTATATAAAAAAAACTGAAGTGGTAATATCTTTGTTTGCCTACTGTTGGATCTTAATATCTTGCCATTACTGTGGAGGAGAAATTGCCACTTTCCACTGCACGTCCAACACATCCTGCAAGGAATAATTGCCTGTAAGCGACCGCAGGAGATTTAAAGCATGTGTGTTTCTTGAGAGGGAGAAAGCAGCTCTCTGTCCTTTACATTATTTATCCTTCACATAAGTAAGTACTTTATTTATACAGCACCTTTCAAGAGCAGAGACGTCACAAAGTGCTTCACGGAGGAGATACATAGTGAGAGAAGGATCTAATGGAGGGAGATCACAGAGTGGATGAGAAGAGGCAAATATTTGCTATGATATAAACCGATACCGCTTTACTTATGCCACTTTGTGCCTATCTGAATTGCACATTTAAAGAATAGGAAATCAAATGTAATAAGATTCAATATAAGTTAATTGACTGGGGCCGGATCAGAATACAAAAATACAAATCAGAGAATATTTGTAAGACTAGGCTTGTATGACAAAAATACAACATGGCACATTAGTCATGTGTATTTGATGTGCTGTCCTAGTCACTGAACATACTGACCCAGATAACACTGTCTAACCACATACATTATGTTGTGTGCGACTGGTAGATTTGATTTAGTTTATCCGCACCTGTTGGCAGTTAATGTTACCTCTGCTGCACAGTTGGAACACAGACAGGACATGCACTGTAATCATCAGGAGGAGATTGGCAGGATTTTTGCCCCTGGCTTCATGCAGTCATGTCTGAAAGGATGGTGGAGCACTGAGGCATGAATGTAGAGAGGGAAAAGCTTTGCCACACATGCATGAACTCATACTTTACACACAGGGTTTTTTTCCCATTGGGTATGCCCCAAATTCATTACAAGAAAGTTAAAATCTTATGTTTTAGTCTAGTCAGTTCTTCCACAGTCCCTTCGATTCAGTTATTAATTCATCAATACAGCCCTGCTCATACAATTTAAATATTTAATGCACGCGGAGAACTTTTCCCATTCATTTATCTTCATTCATTTTCAGAAATGTGTCTTGGGATTGATGCAGTGAGAAAAGAATCACTTAAAGAACATTCATACTAATTTATTGTATTATTCTAATGTACTCTGTTCTAGTTTGAGAGTAATCCCTCTGCTTTCATTTAGAAAAGGGGGCGTGGGGCTGCTTGTCTTTGGCAGACCAGAGGGAGTCCAAGTGGTTGGACTCCACTATGCTTACAAATTGAATTAGCGCTGTAAAGGCTGTGGAGTTTGGATGAATCAGTCCAAAATATGCAGCTCTGAGACTTTTCTTAAGAAGGACACAATGTCTAAAACCAGCTTTTGATAAAAAGACATGATAGATAGATGTATAGATAGATAGATAGATAGATAGATAGATAGATAGATGGATAACAGATGTTCTATGACTCCGTCTGTTGTTTGCCTTCCATAATTCCAGTGAAATGTTTTTTTTTTTTCTTTCATACCATCTGTTGTACTGTTTGTCTTTGTCATCTGCTCTGTCACCATCACTTTTCAAAGTCCCACTGCCCTCTTTTACCACCATTTAATCTATCTTTCATTTGTTTTATCCCTATTCATCATCATTTCTCATCTCTTCTGCTACGGTCACTTTCTAGGTTTTTCCGTATATCTCATTATTTTCTTGCCGGTTTATCTCCGTTTTTGTCACACAGCCAAACTCAAAGATGATTAGTTTATACCCATCTGTCTACATACAACAATATACACACAGAGCCTCAGTCATATGTGCACCCATATGTGTGTGTCTCTCTGTCAGTGTTTCTTCTGCCTCAGACGAAGAAGGTCAAACTTTGGTCCCTATATGTATGTTAAAACATACTGTGTATTTATAATATAATGCTTGCAACTACTCAGCAAGAATTATAAAGATGTCATCACATAGACTTCCCATGAGGAGGTTTCAGACACATCAAAGAGGGTACATGTGTACAGATGACAATCCTAATTTCTGTTATATGGCAGGTAACAAAGTCAGCTTTCATCGTCTGTAGCATGGCAGTTATTTTTTCAGCACTGTCAGTTTGGAGGTAGACTGAAGTACAGACAAATTCAAGGGACCTAAGGGTAGAAAAATATGGTAAAAGAACTGTGGCCCCAAACAGTATGACACAGGGCACATAAAATCAGCGGACTATAAGAAACCACAATCGTACCCGACATTTTAGGGTCATTGTGAGCTTCAGGCCCCTGAATAATCACTGTATTTCTCCAAGTCGCTGCATCTTGCTCATGGGTAGATTTTGTAATTTAGCAGCATATACTTGTAGTTTTCCTCTGCTGTAGAAAAAAAAGAGAAAGAGATGTGTGTTTTGGGCCCTGGTTGTGAGCAGATAAGATTGGAAAGTGAGATGTTTTGGATGGAACTTTGTTGACTTTGGCTCAGACTTTCGGGCACAGGTACTGAATGACGATGTGGGGTCAAAGAGAAAGAGAGACAATGGGAAAGAGACATCAGCATTGTCTGTGTATGTACTCCATGTGTGTGGATCTGGTACATTTGAACAGACGCACATTGTGTTGTATTTTAAATTAATGTGTCATAATGTTGAGATTTGGCACACTTTGACAGCGATGATTGGATTTGGCGGATTTTATTTTAACAAAGAATTGGATTTAAACACTAGAAATATAGGGCACAATAGCCTGACATTTTTTTTGGACAGAGATACTGAACTTCACAATCCTTAAACCCCTGTGGGGAACTTTTATATTAAAAACACATTCTGACAGTGGATTATAAACTCATTAAAAAAATGTAAATTTTTAAGCAGCTCCATGACAGATGACATATTACTTAATCTAAAATTCCTTTTTATTTATATTTCATTATGCACATTTACTTGCTGTATGCCATTGTGAAACTTTTCATCTCGTGGGAGTAACCTGGAAAAATAAATTAGTTAAAGGTCTAGATTTACTTTCACAGTTACTATGTGTAATGAGGCAGCTGTATACTGTAGAGCTGGTTGTTGCATACATATAGTATATATATATATATATATACACGTATATGTAGCTTTTCTATTGGTCTACAATAATAATGATTGTGTCCATGACAAAAACCTTTCTATATTGTTGTTGTCTATGATGTGTATGGTTTTGTGTGAGTGTTTGTATAAAATATAAGTAACCTGCTTTCAGTAGATTCAGTGTATGAAATTCTTCCCCAGCTACCGGAAAACTACTGGAATCTGCTGTCAAGACAGTTTTAATAGGAAGTAGAGGCAGAAATCAAAATCTACCTAATCATCCTGTAGGAAGGAAGTTGATTATTTTGCCAGCAGGCTACTTTTGGTTTCTTGGGTAGTGGGGGAGAAAGAATGAGGCCCTATCTTCCTATCACAAAATAACTGCGTGTGGTTGTGTTTTTTTTGCAGGTGACCATCCTTCGAGGAAAGGATGGATATGGCTTCACCATCTGCTCAGATTCCCCCGTGAGGGTACAGGCTGTTGATCCAGGCAAGTTTTGCATGCACATGTCAGTGTACATGAAACTCAACTTTCCGGAGAGGATGTTGTTTACATATTGAGGTCTTCACTGTTCTGCAGTGTCTTTGAGCCTAAATTGCTTGAAGATGGATCACTTTCACTTTTCACTTTTAGCCATAAACAACCTTACATTACCAAAGTAGATATGATTGTAATACTGTCTGGCTATCAGTGATGTTTTTCATTTTCACTTGCAGTGCTTCCAACACTTGATTTCTAGTTTTAATAATATTCATGACATGAACTAATTATTGAGTCTTTCCCTGTACTCCAATTTAAAAGCACTAGACTATGTAAGTAATATGGTAACGGATCATTTTACAGTGAAAGTTGCTTTCGTTTCACACTGATTGACCAGAGTTTGAAATCTCATGCATTCACCCCGTACATCATGAAAGTTTCATTTCACCTGTGGCTGATTTATTTATTTTTACTCCACTGGTTGTAGCTTTGAGAATTACCATAAAGACTGCCTCAGTCAGCAGGGTGTTACAGTTAATGGGGAGCCTGTCTGTCAAATGGACAACTTGGAGTCAAGCCCCCATGTTGGCAGGTTTTCACCCTGTGGCCATGTCTTTGAACAAGATGCTAAATCTTGAGGCAATGACATCGTTACTGTCCTTGTGGAGAGATAAAGGGATTCAAAACAGAATTTCATCTCACAAAACAACAGAATCTTATCTCTTAGATTATTATTTAATTATTTTGTCTGCAGAGTAATTTGCCATTCTTTACCTCCAAGACTGAAGGAGCAAGTTTAAAGGAGCCATAGCCTTGGACAACATGAATGGTGCTTGAAAGTGTGTAATGATCTGAACTTTTTCTGTCTCTTCACTCTGGCAGGGGGTCCAGCAGATCAGGCAGGTCTGCAACAGTTGGACACTCTCCTGCAGCTAAATGGTCAGCCAGTGGAGCAGTGGAAATGTGTGGACTTAGCCCACGCTATCAGGTAATGACCCCAACACACCAGAGGATTATGGGACTAATTAACACCAAATTGTTAGAGCATCCCATTCAGAGGCTTATTCAGGATTCAGTCAGTTCAAATGATTATCTATTCAACTGAAAGCCATTCTGATACGTATGACTTCCCGAAGAAGACCTCTATCTATAAAGATCCTTAATTTTAAAAGTAAAGATTGGCAGTAGCCAATAAGAATTATATATTGTGATGTCAGTGATTTATCAGGAGTCAACAACATAATCACAGCTATGTCGTTAAGTATCTGATGCCCTGTTCTTTTCTTATTGAGTTGTCCCATATCTACTTTATCTCATGATATAGTCAAATTTCAACAACAGAATAGATTTACATAGATTTCTTTCCGTTCTGTGATTTTATTGAATCCTTCTTTTAACAGAAACACAAATACAATGTGCAAGGAAATGTTCAGTTATTGTGTTTTTCTGTAATACATAGTGTGTTATTTGAAACACTTTCCATGTGATTTGGAGTAAATTCATATATATATATATATATATATATATATATACACATGTTATATTCACTACTCCTTATTTGATCATTATCTGTATTTCTCTTTGCAGAAACAGCGCCAATGAAATCACAGTGGTGGTGTGGCGTACCGGTCCCTCAGCTAAGCCTAACTTTGAGGGCCTCATTCACCGGCCCTCCTACAAGCCCTCCACCTCAAACTATGATGCCCCCTCGCCCCCTACCCGCAGGCGTGTACCAGATGTTGGCACCAGCAAAACCCCCCCAGCTGTGCCGCCTCTCCCAGCCCACCACCGTGCCGCTGCCACCCGCAGGCTGCTGGTCAACGGCTCCGAAGCCGGAAATAGCAGTGGTGTAGGGATGGGAAGCCTGGCGTGGGGGGCCCAGGGAGGGTCAGCCGAGGAGCTGGATGGGAAACCGCGACACCTCCACCACCCTCACACTGCCACACTGAAGGGTACCAGGGTGAAGGCATCCAATGGGGACAACTACATCATCCTGGCGCCCATCAACCCCGGAAGCCAGGTACCGCAGACTGGTGGTGGGCTGCACCTTCATCATCTTCTTCGTCCTCCTCATCCTCACCACGGTCATATGGTGGCTCATCCTAGATATGTGTCCTTACCTTTCATCCCTGGTGCTGATAGATAGAAGGACTGTGTTTACAGTATGTGTGGGCCATTTGGGTTACTGCTGTCTCACTGATTTGTGCTTTACGACATGTTTTGAACATACTACACATAGTTCAGTCATGAAGATATGGGCCAGAGACTAGGAAGCAATAGTAGGCAATAATATATAAAATGCAGTTGTTGATAATACATTGTTTGTCTGTACTATGTGAAGCACTGGCAGTTAAACACAGTTCATATTAGGAAAACAATGCATATGTATCTGACATCATTTATCTTACAGGTATCCTATAGATAAATCATCTGTGTGCCATAGATTATACATCACTATTTTAAGACAAATAGTTCTGGTATTTAAGAAAGAGGAAAAAAAAATATAACAAAATTATTACTTTAATGCATACTTTATGAAAATTCACATACACTATTCCAAGATTGGTCCATTGCATCATATGCAGTTTTACATTAAGTATAACATGTATATACATGGACAGTATGACATGTACATGACGTTTTATATAGCATGTACTTATGGTTACATCTAGTGACATCATGTATATGAGGTAAAAGCTTTCATCATAAAAACAAAATAAAGGAAACTCATTAAATCAAAAAGACTGAACTCAATTCCTCAGCTAACCCCCCTGTAACAAAACGATACTAACCTATTAACCACCTCAGGGTAACAAAAATGTTGAACCAAAAGATCCAAGATGTGTGTGAGTCAGTCACCCTGCAGTGCCCTCTGTCTTCTGTTGATTGCAATCTAGGTGCAACCTACAGTGTCTAAATAGTTGCTCCAGACTTCCAAAACATTTCTAACTCACTAAATCCTTTTACTATCTTATGTGGACTTGATAGTATATTTCCTTTACTTTTGTTTTCTACTGAGTTTGTCTGTGACTTGAAGCTGCGTGTGTGTGTTATGTGTCTGTGTGTGCCTCATGCATTGTCCAGATTCACTGATAAATTCTTGTTAGATTCTGGTTCAGTTAGAGAACATTGTAGTGCATGGCAGAAGTCTGTGTTGAGAACAATCTGAAACATAAGATCAGATTGATTTTTAGAAGGAAGAGCAGAAGAAGATTCAGAGAAATGATGGACAATATATTAAAAGAAAACATGTAGGCAGATTGGGGAGTTTCAGGAAAATGATTAGAGGCACTTGCTGCCACTTCTACTTCTACTTAATAGTCAAGGATTTGGTGTTTGGTGAGATGTTGTGGCCATCGCAGGCTAAATATATACCGAAAGGCCCGTGGAAATGGGTCATGGTGACTTATCACACCGACACAATACTCTAGTTTACTAAGTGATGGCCTTGAAAGCCCACAGTGCAGATATTGTTTATCCCAATAAGATGGCAATAAAGAGAGCTAATGATATGTTTTAAATATTTTGTGACTTTCCAACCTTGAGTTCACCTCCTGTATTAATCTGAACACCATGTGACATGGTGGCAGCTTTCTCTCTTTACTCCCTCAGTTGATTGTTATTTGATATGACAGGTAGAAACCATCACTGCCTCACCGAGTCCAGCGCAATTGAAACGGGCTCAGCTGAGTCCTGGAAACTAAATTCAATGTCAAGCAACAAACTGCAGATGATAACGTCCAGCTTGGTCCCAAAACACATACTCATGGCATAGCAGCACTGAAAATGAAAGCATAGGACACAAATAAAATAATAACAAATAAAATCTTTTAAATAACCTCAAACACTGAAAAAGTGTGGCATAGTCAGTTAGTTGGCAGATATCTTATAGAGTACATGATCAACATCACATCATAGAAAGTTAAGACAACAATTTTACTTATATTCTCAATATATTCTCAATTTAGTCATAAAACGACTGTATCTTACGTCATTGTTCATTTGACTTCCTTCCATTCTTGATGTAGTTTAGATGTCAGCTGAAACAAGTGTTATTTATATTAATGTATTTTCATATTACTCTCCTTTCAGATCTTGAGGCCTGTTTACCAAGACAACCAGGGAACATTAGGTAAGACATTCATACTCCTGCAGTGCTTTGTTAATGGCTACAATGAACTCTGTTGGGTATTTTGGCTGAAAGCCTGTGTTTAAGTTGGCTTTCATGCCTTTATCATTTTGGATGTCACCCAGTGGTAATTAAATTTTTGACTTCACATCGCAGGTTATTGTTAATTTAAAGAATGTGATTAAATTCACTTAACATTTGGCACCCAAAATAACAAATTAAACTGACGTCAGGAATACAATTAATGCAAAATACTTTTGTTGCCCACTGTTTGAATCCTCTTCTAAATGAATTACAGCATTCAGTTATCACTAGTTTTAATCTTACTATGGGATTTTTTTGTCTTCTGGAAGCTGGCCAATGTAACAGCTCAAAATATCAAATATGTCTTCTATCTTCTATCTTCTATCTTCTATCTTCTGTCCTGTCCACCAACTTTGGAGCCCTACTCTACTTTGGTGAAAGAGTGACCCTGAAAATTCAGCAACACTTGAAGCTTAAAAAGCAGCTGGAGCCTCTTGCTAACCGGCTGGTAAAGTTAACCTAACAGGAAACTATGTCTTCAGATCAGGAAACCTGAAAATTTGGGACATGAAATTCTGCTCAGTCCATATTGATTAGCAGTTTTGATTAGTTGATTAACCACCACTTGCACTTCTGGACAACCTTTGGCCCAAATTTGAGGACTAAACTGCTAATCTTGTGTTGCCAGGTCTCCATTACGCCAAGACCATGAAATTCTGGGAAATATTTTGATTATCTTTTTTTCTGAGAGTTAGATGAGAAGATGAGAATGAAAGTGATTCTTCTTTGTTCTTTGTTTCCCAGCTGCCAGATTATACCCCACACGGCAGGCCTCTGTTCCACAACCCCAGGGAGGTGGCGGTGGTGGTGGTGGTGCTTTTTCTGGAGGAATGAGTGGTGGTATTGGAGGAGGTGGTGGTGGGGGTCTCTCTAGCCGCACTGGCTTCCTACGACGGTCTAACAACTCCAAGTCGACAAAGACTTCGTCCACCTCCACTAATGCCGGCATGTCCAACTACCAGCAGCAGAATGCCAACTTTGCCAATTACCAGAACTGTACCATCGTCCGCTCACATACTCCACATGGCAATTATGGATATGTCAAAGTGGCCCCCAAGATCCTTATCTTCCCCATCTTTGTTCAGGTAGGCCAATTTGTGTGAATATGTGTGTGTTTCTGAAGTGGTGATTGTTGGTAGTTTTGCAGTAGATTTTTGCGCATCAAAATTTTCAGTTTTAATTATTCATTGTATACATTTTAGGCTAAACTATCGCATTAGAATATTTTCATTCACATCCTGTTAGGATCTAGCTCCTAGCCTTTGTAGTGCAGTAGGTTCTGACATGATTTTACACTTCTATTTTTCTGCAGATTAAACAGACAAGATATAGTGTGTTCATTTGTGAGCTTTTGAGGTGCTAGTAGGCAGATTTTGTTACCTTTGGACAGAGCCAGGCTGGCTGTTTCCTCCCATTTCCCTTTTTTTGTGCTAAGCTAAGCTAACAGGCGCATGGCTACAGCTTCATATTTAATGGACAGATATAAGACTGATATTAATCTTGTCATCTAACCCTTAGCAAAAAAGCGAGTACATGTATCTCTCCAAAATGCCAAACTATTATTATCAGTATGCAGTAAAAAGACAGACAGGAGCAAGAGGGGGATGATGACAGGGAAGTCCAATGGTGCAACAGATGGTATTCTAGATAGAGTATGATGATTTTTTCCCCCCCTGCAAATTTCAGTCTAAAGGAAGTAGACATTTATGGTTTTGCATTTATGAAATATGAAATATGTTGATCTTTCTTTCTGAGCATCTCACATTTTGCAAGCCGAGAGGGCTCTATTTTTATACATAACTCATTTTAGATATGCTGATTTTTTTTTTGGAGTTTCTGCCTTTGGGCTACAGCACTTATCTGTCTGTGAGGAGAGAGAGGAAACTGTGGAGAGTGAACCTCGGAGGTCAGTGGTAAAAACAGAGTAACAAGGATTGTTATTTTCTGCACTTATCTTTTATATACAGTACAAGAAGAGAAGGAACTGTATTGATGAAATGAAAGGGCTTATTTTGGCTTTTATTGATGTTGTGTTTACTCTGGTCAGAAAATTGTTTATTGATACTTAATATATTTTGTGTAGTATCATAATGAGAAAGACTTTGTATTCCTGTAAAGGGGGTATAGTCCAGTCCAATTAGGAAGCAGAGGCAAAGTTATGCCAAGTCATGTGTCATTGCAACATAAACATGATAAAATAACCAAAGGAGAAAGGTGTGATATGTTTCCTCCTACTACAACATGTCAGATACTTCTAGTCATTTACACTTTAACAATGCATGGGCTGCGGTGGTACTTCCTGTTATTTCATACATGAAACCCTGACCCTGCTGCACACACACACATATATAAAATTGGCCCTTTTTTCAAAACCTGGACTTGAGAGGAAGTCCCCTCCTCCCACGTTGCCACACTGTTCATTTTAAGTGTCAGTGTCTTGTCATACTCAGACCGCACGTACCGCCTCACAGCTCGCTCTCTGTCTTCATAGAAACTGTTACACTTGCGTTTCTCACAGCAAAAAGAAGGCTCACTGTTATCAGTTTAGCAGATCGTTTGGATTTGGGAGCTGAGATGGATTTGGTACTATAACTTTTTGTAATCAGTAACAATCGCAATATTATCCTCTTGAATTTTATCCCGTGAAAAGCTTAACATATGTTCATGATTCTGACATCATGGAAATGCTAAGTTTAAAAACACCAGCTCGATGTGCTTGAGGTCATTGATATCTGATGAAAGGTATCAGTTATCATTGAATGAGCCTCAAAATTATGTCTGAAAACTTAATCTTGTTTTAAACCTAATCTGTCTGTGTAATCTGCTGTTATCCAGCCTCTTGACCTGTGCAGCCGAACGCTCATCATATCTGAGGAGATGATATTACATGAGAGCAAGCACCACTCTCTCAAGGTAAGTGCCATCAGTGCAGTAATGATGCTATGTTTGTCTAGACATGCGATGTGAGCGTATGTCATTAATAAAACATTTCTGTGTGTACGTTTGCTACACTTTATGTTAATAACTTCGTCTTGAAGCCCTTTCTTCGGTTTACTGAACTGCACAGGAACTTTGGTTGTTGTTGACTGAGAAACCAAAAGCTTCAAAATGGTGCCTAGAAAGTGCAGGATTGGATATCAGGGTAGAGGAAATATGATTTTCTTTGTGCTCTTTCAAGACTTTTATAATTTGATTGATACAGAAAGATTGAGGCCCTCTCCTCTCCTTTCCTCTCCTCTCCTCTCCTCTCCTCTCCTCTCCTCTTCTCTTCAGATTGCAGGAGACAAACTGACTAGTGGCAAACATTTTGTTGGTTTGTCACAACCGGTTACGTGGCTTGTTTATTTAGTCAAACTGGAAGTGACGGTCCATTGCCTCAATGTGCATCTCAAGTCAAAATGTGTGTATTTTAGAGTAATGCATGTATATAGAAAGGGAGAACAAGTACAGAGCAACATCCTGAGAGGAGATGTCTGAACATCTGAGCATCTCTGATGAATTTGTAACTACTCTGGACTATCAGGCCCACATGAGTTGAGGAAAATGAATAATTGATGAAGGAGGAGTGTGTGTATGATCTGACTATCACAGATATTCTGTTTAATCTATCAAAAGAAACTGCAGATTCTTTGATACACACTACTGGTCAAACGTTTTAGAACAGCCACATTTTAACAGTTTTTATTGAAAGTTTTATTGAAGTAGATCAAGTTCTGTGAATAACCTTACATGGTGCAAAGGTAAACTGCCCGAAGTAAAAAGCAAAAAAATTAGATCACCAAAAACTGAAAAATTATGTAAACAGGTTTTTTTGGGGGGGGTTAAGAAATTGGTTAATTTACAGCTTTCCTGCAGCAATGGAAGTAAATGAAGCCTTGAAAGTTAATGCAAACAATTCCCACAGGTTTTGTTGATGACTTAGAAACCCCATGCCTGTACAAAGGCAGTGTTGCAGATTGTGTTACTGCATCCTCTAATGCATTATTAGGACAATGCTCTACTGCAGGAAGCAGTACTCTATATTGCCTTCACAATGGACAGGAGTGCCAGAGTGTTCAGCTGCTGGATGAGTCAAAAATTTTGATTAAATTTAGTTCAACAGGAATATTACATGACTCCTTATTTTTAAAATAGCTGGAAAAATTGAGGTGTTCTAAACCTTTTGACCAGTAGTGTATATTAATGATCCTTTCACAATAAGATGACCTTACAATGATGTTCTGCTTTATAAATCTTTATAAATCTTTTACAGTATATTGTAAAGGTTAAAGTAGAAAATATGTAACACTTCTGCGACAAAAAATAAAAGTTCTCATACTTTCTATTTACTATTTTTTTTAGAAAATGCATGAGAAGTGTGAGTGTGTAGACCGTACTGTATGTGGAAAGAGAAAAAGAATATTGCCGGATTGAATGAAGCTCTTGCCACAGTTCTTTAATTTGCCCTGTCAGATAATCTTTGCTCTGTGGTGCAGTGAAGTGCAGTGACTGCTGGCATGGAAGGTAATTCTGGCCTCTCTCTAGGGTCAGTCATAAAACAAATATTTAACAGCCAGTGTTTGTCAGGAAGGAGTTTCTCTCCACTGTGCCAATTTATACAGACTGTTTTTAATGATCTCTCTGTGTTGTTCCAGCTTTTAGTCTTTACTCACTAGAGTTGTATAAGTCTGCCCTGGAGGAAAATGCACAAACTGTATTTTTTTAATGTCTGTACACAATTTATAAGCAGAACATGGCACTAATTGGATTTAGTCCAAAGTGACCAAAATGTCCAAAATAGACTTTAAGTGGATTAAATATTAGTAATGCTCCAAAGTGACATTTGGACATAAAAGACCGAAGTGGATTTAAATTATATTAACGTTAAACATTTTATTTCTAGTTAGTAAACATGCAGGTAATTAAATCAGTTTAAACCTGCTAAATACACTGTTAACAGAGTCATATAGTATGTGTTGGTCCTTTAATGAATTAAAGTTATCAGAGAAAGTCATTATTATCTTTACATTTACAATACATCAGAAGATAATACGGGATATTGGGAACAGGACACATACAGTAGTTGAGAGAGAGAGAGAGAGAAAGGCATCACATGTTTGTGTTAACTTTTATGAACATATGAAAAGTATGTGTTAATATATGTGTAATGTGTATATGAATAATATGTAATATGTATTATGATATAATGTGTTTTATGTATTATAATTCTACAGTTTTCTCTGTATGAAAACAGTTCGCTGCTTGACTCTCATATGCTTTGTCCTTGTTCTTTACTTTTACTTACATCCTCTTCCACCCACTCAAACCTACACACACACACACACACACACACACACACACTTTCTCTCTCTAACCAGATACTGGCAACATCTGAAATACCCACTGTACTATCTCACCCTTCAGAGGAAGCCACCAAAGCAAAAGCTTTGTCTTCAAACAGTGCCCATCTGTATGCACGTTATGTTGCTTGGAAGCACAGTCTCACATAAGAGACCACTATGCACACATCTAGACTTCGTTTTTTTTAAAAATTTTTTATCATCTACTTCTTCTTTTTAATTCTTCATACTTCTTTCCTATCTTTATTTATTTTAATTTCTCCAGACAGTGGGCCATATTACTGGCATGCATGCACAAAAGCTAACCAAGCTAAAACTTACAGTGTTTGGCCATACCTACGTATGTGTGAGCTGCATTTCCTGTGCTAAGGCATAAGGCTCGCATGGAGGTGAGACTTGAAGTGTGTTAGATGGTGTTATGTGCATATCACTGGATTGCAGAGGTGTTTTTGTGAGATATGATTATCTTAAGGTGTAAAGTCTTGGTCAGTATGAAATTAAATTCAGTGTTTTTTTCCCCCTCTCCCTTCTTGTCTCCTTTTCAACCTCACCTACTCCTCCTCTTCCATTTCTCATCTTCTTTTTTTTAAAACGTCCCTCTCTTTTGCATCTTGTTCCTCCACCTCTGTCCATTCGATTTTTTTAGGTCACAGTGTTTGTCTACAACGACCTGATGCTGGTGACAAGGGAAAATGAGCCAGGCAGGTGTAACGTCCTTCAGAGTCCCCTGTACCTCAGACAGCTCCGGCTCCAGGACGGTACGTAAGCGTTAATACACCTGTCACCAAACTGTGTGCAATCCTGGATTTTGTCAGTCTATATGCAGGACAAGTATAAGTTTCATCATTTGCTTTGTAAATTTGCAGACATAAGGGCACTTGAGTCGGTCCTGTAATCGGAAGGTCACACATCACAGCAATAACCTTTTCTGCTGAATTCTTAAATATAATATTTATAGTCACTGTAAACTAAATGAGCCTTAATTCTGAGATGTCAGAGATGTTGAGTCAAACGGTTGTTTTACTACATCAACAAATTTCTTAAAAGACCAAAAACAATAAAACATCAGCCAAAAGTGCAATCTGTAAAATATATCTCGAAACAATCTTATCTATATGTTAGCATATTAAACTATGTTTGACCTTTTATAGTTCAACACAGAATAATAAAAGAGAATTGTAACATTTGAACACGCAAATAGCACAACTAGAAATAAACTTACAGCACTATGATTACAGTGAACGTTTCAGCTGAGCTTAACCAGAGGATATTTAGGGAAACACTGCCCAAGTTCCTGTTGCTTTGTCTTTTTATTTCACCTTGGTATAAACAACCATCTCCTCTGGCGATGTGGAGAGAATAGGCTGGCCATCGGGGCTGCGCACAGCGTAGGCAAGTCAAATAAATAGGGCTCACTGTAAATATCTGTGTTTAGAGTGGTGGGCGGAGACATGGGCAAAGTTTGGAGTCATGCTTGGGACACAGCAAGGGGAGAGGGGATGCACTTAGACCGATGCTGCTGAAAATGTAGCGTTGTATATGGCGTGAAAGTACCAAATGCTCTGTGACAATAAACAGGACTAAACAGCATGTTAGTAGTGTCAGGATTATGGGATTGATTTGTAAAGGATAACAGGTGTTGGGGTGATGCTGTGTTCTTCAGTGCAGAATAATGACTTTAAAGGCAGTGCAGTGTTCAGAGTCAGTGTGAATGTAGAGGGGGACAATTGTGCTCTGAGATCTCAGTACTTTACTCAGTACAAACCAATGCTGTTTTGATAATTAATATTTTTGAATCTTTTACTCAAAAGCTGGGCCTGACCTTCAGTGAATAAAGCCCCCTACATACAGGTGTTAGCATAGCCTCCCATAGCTAGTCTTTCTCCACAGGCAGGAGACACTTGTGCTGGAACCCGCTGTCATCGTCCTTTAGGTTAACAAACTTTGGCTTTGACTGAAATCAATCAGAGTCTTAAATGCAGATAACTCACTGTTCTCGCTATGTATTCTACTGAGGGAAATCAATTTTCCCATTTGGGAAAGTGTGTCCAAACTTTTGACTGGTACCGTATATAAATGCGGACGAGTTAGCATATCTGCTGAGTCAGGCTTATGACAGCGTGGTTACCTCTTGATCTGTTATCGGAAGCAACAGAAATGCCAGACACGGGAGAGGGTAATTAATTGCAGATATAAAACAGCAATATGAAAAACACATTCATTTTGCAGGTAAGGTTGACACAGTAAGGAATAACGTTAAGAAAACACTCCAGCACAAGCATTTATGAATTCAAAACATAGCACCCTGATGCAGGGCGGTCTGAGCCTCTCTGCCCTCCCTGCGGACATCACTGGTCTCCTCCGGGCCACTTCTGACCTCCACCCTTGACCCAAACAATTGGAGATCACCAGGGTGGGGATTCAGTAGAGTTTGTGTGTTTCATGAGAGGACACACACACAGACACACATCTCCACCCCGCTGCCTGTCATTGTTATTTCGCTTCGGCAGCGTCACTCAGGAAAGAGGCGCCGGGGGATTGTGTTTGTTTCAACAAGGGTGTGTTTGACATGTGTGTGTGTGTGTGTGTGTGTGTGTGTGTGTGTGTGTGTGTATGACACAGTGCAAGTTCAATACAGGGGCTTTCCTGTGTTCCTGTCACCTCGTTACTAGGCTGAGGAGCGTGGGAAGTGATAGCGATATTAAATAGAGTGATGTTAAAACTAAGTGATAGTGTGTCAATCCAAATGTCATTGTACTAAACAAACTAACAAGACCACCTCCACCTCAACCATCTGCATGATGTGAAACCTTTTGACAACTCGTGCACCAAAGTGTTAAGTAAACAAGAGAGCAGTGTACATCTACACTGCAAGAAGCAAGACAGTTTTCTCACCTTTGGGGTGTCTGTTCTTCACTATATTCATGAGAAAATGTGAGTGACAGCAAATAATTTAAATTTCTCCACATTTGACACACCACTATGTCAATTCTATTATGTAAATCCACTCCACATTTAAGATAATAACTTTTCAGAAATCAAGAACAAATATATCAGTGTGTCTTTTCGATAGTATTCAAAAGGTTCTGAGCATTTTCATGACCTAAAGAAAACATTTAAACCGAAAACATGGATATCGTTAAACATGTGAGTTACAAGCTTTTTACCTGACATCATCAGCAAGCCCGTCTGACGTGCTGTATGGGAGCACTCTGCTGGATTGTGGAAAATCAGAAAGATATCCAACAGTGACCTCTGCTGCTGGTTATGAAAAGAGACACAAATTGGTAAAACACAACACTTCCCATGGCCCCTGCTGTAACTACATCACACACTGACCATGACCACCCATCGTTTTAAGGGGGAGTTTGTCTCTCCTCTGTTCAGCGCTGTGGGCAGTATCAGTTAGACATAGTATAATACAGCCAACAGGAGCCAACAAAAAGCTAAAGAGCTGCCTCTGAACATCCACTGCAATCGGAGGCTGCTGTCTGCTGACACAATTCAGGGTGAAAATGTCGAAGGTGGATTTATACACTTTCCTGGGAGTGTAATAAACACATGAAATAAAAAAGCAGACACATTCTTTTCTCTGCTCTGTTGTGAGACTGAGCCTAGAGAGTCTGGATTTAGTAAACGTAGGATGGATGAGTTCAGATGATTTATAGATCCCCTCTAGACATGTTTTAAGACATAAAGTGTTCTGGTTTAGATCAAAATTTATGTCTCATATGAGAAAAGTTCAATTACATTCTTAAAAAATATTGAAATCCTCCTTCTAGCTTATTGAAATTTCCAGAATTTTTTTAATGTAAGTTTATTTGTCTCCTAATTTGATAAAAAATAAATCCATTCTCAGTGACCACACACGGCTTCAAAACTAGTTGTGGTGTCACAAAACACGCTCATAAATATACGCCTTAGAATTCAGATTCATAGGACTAGTTCACGTTTTTTCTCAGTCTTTAGATGCTCACATGGCAAAATCTGAAATCACGCTGAAATCATTTGTCCTCTCCATATTGGATGTAACAAGATCGCTTCCTAATGGAGTCTTGACAGTATTTTTATCACAAAATTCCCCCTTTGTGTTACTAACTCTCCTCTGCAGCTCAGTGACAAAACAACCTCAACAGCCTCAGTGCATTCAGTTACTGTAGGTAGTATCCAAATACATTTCCTGCCTTTCTATGTAAATTTGAATCACCCTCTCAGAGCGGCAACCCTTATTTACAGATCATGCAGTCAGAGTGAGTGAGTCTTATTCAAAGCCAGGAAAACATTTCTCAATCAGCTTCTCACTGCGAGTGATGGGGTCTCTCAGACCAACATCATTTTCTACCAAAGTTGGAAGTGTTTTGGTTATTTCACATGAACGATTTCTGTATTTCTGTTTTTGTCTGAGCTCCTCTCACTGGTTTGAAGTGGGCCAGGTGCATTTTGAAAATGATGATGTCACTTCTGTTCCTCGATCAAGATTCAGCAACATTTGAGCCAGAATTTGATGACAGTTGCTACAGGATGTTTGGTCAATCAAGACTGATCAAAAGACACCCACTGAGTCTTGATGAAGTAGAGAAGCTGAGTTTTTGAGATTTCAACTGTAAACAAGTATAATAGTAAGGTCTACCCAAAGATTTTTTAAAATAGAGATATACCTAAGATTTAAAGCCAGGTTTTGAGGGACTTCAATGTATCATGTTTATTGAACCCGCTGAGTTTCATATGGATGGATGGATGGATGGATGGATGGATGGATAGATGGATGGATAGATAGATAGGAAAGGGAGGCGTGTAGGGTTGAATAGATGACCCCTGTCTTTCTGGAACATATTTAATCCTCAGGGCCGCTCCGCTCCTCAGTGTGATGATCTAGACAAGATTGCTAGTCATGGTTAGACCGCTGGCTTGTGTGTGTGTGTGCTTTCTTCTAATAAAATAGCAAACATCACCACCACATATAGATTATATGGGTGTATGTTTGAGTGCGTGTCTGTGTTGGAGGGGAAGGATCATTCGATTAAAACCATTTATCTTGACTCCAGACCCACAGGCCTGTCTCACAGAGCGCTTCCTCAGTGAATTATGGGTGAATGTCTATAAGGCTGGCATACAGTAAAAGCTTTCCATCAATATAGGCATTTTGGTAAAATCATAATTGGAAATCAATGCGCTTCAAAAACGCTGCTTTATGCACAAGAAGGAAGGAAGGGCGAGTGTGAAAGTGAAACAGAAAAGAAGATTGGCAGGAAGGAAAAAAGATGACATGAAGAAAGAATTCAAATTGATCTCTGGTGTTACTTTGTTTTACAGATTATGCTGAAGAACTGAGATTCTACCTTATTCACATGACAGAGGTAAGAGAAAAAGATTGCATGCGTCTGTGCTTGTTTGAAAGAAAAAAAGAGGAGGAAAGGAAGGTCTGATGTGAACAGCCTATTTTGTCTGCGAGCCGGAGGGGCAATTGACTCTGGTGGAAATCACATTACAGAGGAGACACAAGGATTAGCAGAACGCTCTAATGAAAATGTCTTTTCTCTGCATGTCTTTGTCAGATCTGACTCCATCTCAGACTTGTCTCTATCACACATTCACCATCCATTTGCTCTTGATATATTATAGAAACATATAGTGTATAGATTTTATGATTGCACCATCAGGCTTTTGGTTGTTTTTTATTATTATATTTGGGTTTAAAAGTATTTTATAAATTCAGATTTAAGATAATCCTCATTTTAAATAAGACTGTGGACTATACAGTAAATTGATATGTTCTGACACAAGTGTAAAACTGAACTATGTGACCCAAGGATTGTAGTGCTCAGTACAAAAACATTACAAGTGTTCAAATGCAATGCACCTATTTTACATTGTGATTTGCTTTGTTTACACAATCACAGTTATGACATTTATGACAAATAATCATCCTTTCTTCCATCCCCTGTAACACCTCTCTGGCTATCATTTTAAGATATGAAAGGAAAAAGCAGAATTATTAATATTACATTGCTGTGTTCACCAATTATTTAACACTGAAATGGCACTTTAAAGTCTAACATTTTCCATTGTCTCAGCAGTATAAAAAATACATGGCCACAACAGAGGTTCTGGTGGTGTGAAAAATGGTCTCAGTAAAAGTTTAAAGGCAAAAAAGGGAAAGATTTTAAAGCCACTAAAACATATATACCAAGATGTTGTTTGAGATGTAAAATACACATTACCTCTATGAATAACTGCATGTGCTAATTTTCAGTTGCAAAACAACAGTTCTCTCCTTCACAACTAGCTGAATTATTTACTTAAGCGGAGGTCTACATGATTAGTTTTAAAAGAGCTCAAAATATCAGTGGGAATCTGCATCACTATCTGTCCTCTCAGTAGTCATGGCAATGTTTAGACAGTAGTTTTCACATAAAAAATTCAAATCAGCTGCACTCAAATGGAGTAAGAGGGAGCAGAAAAGCAAGCTGCTGGGAAGTAGGCAGAAAAAAGGAGGGTGTGATAGTTATCTGACAGATGCCTTGATAGGATTTTATGGTTTTGGAGTCTGTTTTTTCAGTCTTGAAATTTTCTGCAGTCTCTATTTAATGAGCGTGTTTGCAGGTGGTGGTAGCCAGTCCTTCCCTCCTTTCTCCTCAGCAGCCCCTCCCTTTCTTCTTCTGCTCTCCATGCCCATTTTATTGCTTTTTTTTTTTTTTTTTAAACTTGGGTTGTGTGTCATGAGGGAATGAAACTGCAGTTTTCATCATCCTTTTAATGTTGCCATACGTTATGTTTTCATCACTTCTACTCATCTCTTTCTTCCACCTTTTCACACTCTTGCCCCCCTCATCTTGCACACATCTCTCAAGCTGTTGTTTGTATCCAACTATAGCAGCTGCCACACACTCTCTGAATCCACTTCACAGATTTTTACCTTGTGTAAAAAACTGTCATAAATTGTTATGTGTCTGGAGTTTCTCTTGATGTGAAATATGTAATCTGGCACAGCATAAAAGTGTCTTGAAAACTGCTCAAGTTGCTAACATTAGCATGCTGAAATATTAGCATATGCAGATCCGTAATTCAAAACAAGGACATGTAGCTGGGTGGCACCATGGTGAAGGGTAGGGTTGGGATTTGATAGCAATATCAAATCCAAAATCTGAATCCTTTTGAATCCCTCACAACATTTCAATATTTGCAAGTAACTGTAAATTTTTCTGTTGGGGCTGTTTGTCACTGCCTAAATGTTTTCTACATTGAACCAGAAACCAGATCCAGAATGGAACCAAACCCAAGAGGAGGAGGTAGTTGGATCTTGAAATGATAAAAAATTGTGAAAGAAAGTCTTGAAAAGATTTTCTTTTAAGGAGAGCTTCACATTTTCACAAGTCTGTCTTTAATTTATACTCTCATGTGCATAAGTACAGTCATGCATTTTGTGGTTGCTGAAATAATTCTTCTTGTCTAAATTGGCGGGGATTCAGCTGGGATGGTAGACGAGATCCCAAAGTTTAACCAAAGTTAAACTGAGGCTTCAGCAGTAGCAGTTGCATCAATCAAGCAGGTCTCTTCTGAATTTACAGTCTTTCTGTTATGAAATTCCCTCTTTTCATTACTGCTGCTCAGCAAGGAAACAAGTGTGTGTCTGGAGAAAAAGAAATGGGGAATTTTGAACTGAAATGATTGTAACTTTGGAAGAAACTGTGCTTGATTTGTCTAACTGAGGCTACTGAAGCCTCATGTTAGCTTTGACTACACTTTAGTAGTCATTTTTACACATTATAAGGATATTGATTTTGTCACCCATCTCTTACAGTAGAGTCAAGTTAGGATGGGATCCTTTCAGAACCAGTATGAAAAGGAACTGATAACAGCATCCAATAACTCTTCCAGTTTGCATATGGATATGTATGACACATTGAAAAAATACAATAAATTCAATTTGGGCGCACTGCATAAAAACACTTTCATGTTACCTTCACATCACAATCCCATCAAACTCAGGGAATTGGAAAAAAAAAACAAAAACAGCAGCTGTTTCTGTACAATTTGTTTTTTTATGCTCAGATATCACAGAGAACAGACACTGTCTCACACTGCAGCTGCATCAATCATAACTGGCAGAGTTTGTGTTAGAAAACCAGAGAGACGCTTGGTCTTATTGCTGCACTAGCGACTCCTTGTGGTTTGCTGGAGCACCTGTGCAAAGGGGTGTCGGATTGCATTCTCAAGATATTTACACATCATGTGAATCTATGGAATTTGGTTGAACCAATCAGTCTTTCTTTTTGCACTTATGGAAACAATTACATAAAACTAGAGCATTTCAACACCGCCCACTTAATGAGGACGTCTCAGAAGTGGTTTTAAAAATATAAGCTGAACAGACTGGATAGCTGGTGGGGCAATTTTTCTTTTTTTTTTTTTCTAATCCATACAGTCACTGTGACTCTTCTGCAATTTGTTTCGGGCTGTGAATGTCTGCTCATATGTTTAATCTTTTCACCAAGCAACTATATGAGCCCAAACCTCCCCTGCCGCAGAGACACACACACACACACACACACACACACACACACACACACACACACACACACACATACACATACACACGCACATACACATATCGTCACAGTGTTTTTTTGCTTTGAATGGTGCTGCATAACCTCATTAGCAGCTTATGAATTTTTTAAAGGGCCTTTTTTTTCAGAAATTCCAGACAGAATGAGAGGGGCCTGATATCTGTCCCACAGGCTGGAAAAGAGGAAAGAAAGGGCTCCAATATTATTCAGTCTATCCAATTAGGCAACATATATAAATAGAAAGTCTTACGTAAGACGGCATGGGAGAGAAAGAGAGAGAGTATGAGGGAGTTAAAGGTAGATTTTGGATTTTATGCGACACATTAAGAAGGTCTGCAGGAATGGTTGTATCAATACAAAACAGTAGCGTTACTCATCATATTTCTTTTTTCTCTGATGTTATGCCATTTCTTACTGAATTGTTTGTACTTTATAATTGTTATTTTGGCTTTCTCTGTGAGGCTCTTGTCCTGTCATAAAACTGCCATATATGAACAAATAAATTACACATTACATATCACAGTGATAGCAGTAGGGACCACTGACAGCTTGATACCTTGATACTTACCCAAAAGAGTCGGCTGAGACAGCCTTGCGAGGATGCCCCCAAAAATACCAAACTGGTGCAGCAAATATGACAGAAGACAGACAAGAAGACGGAGAAACAGCAATGAGATTGTGTGTGTGTGTGCGTGCGTCCGTGCGTGCATGCGTGCGTGCGTGCGTGCGTGCGTGCGTGCGTGTGTGCATGTGCGTGCTTGTTTCCAGTTAAGAATAACTTGGCTCAGCCTCCTCTCTCTCCTCTGTCAGCCTCATGCCTCCATCTGCCCTGTCAGAACCCCCCCCCCCACCCCACACACACACACACACACACACACAAAAGGTGCAGTCATCTATTATAGTTGATACACCTGTCAGCAGTTCATTTCATACCTCAAGGAGCAAACAGTAGCCACAATGAAACACCCCATGCAGTTTGCTCTGACTCATATCTCTCACATGTACAGTACTATGACAAATACTGTAAGAAAGCTACTTTTAGGTCCATGATAGGATTCCTTTGTCACAAACCACATTAATTTTATGCTTTAGAGATTAAAAATTATGAAGTGATCAAATGAGGTATTCTCTTCTCTTCTCTTCTCTTCTCTTCTCTTTGGCAGTTGCTAACCCGCTGTAGTGCTCATTTATCTTTAAGTGATGAGTCTTTACAGAGTGGTTGACCTTCGTGCATTAGTTGGGCACACTGGTGTGTGAAGTGGAGGAACATGTGAGGTGGATGGAGAGAGGAATGAAAAGAGAAAGGAAAAGATATCAAAGGAGATTGGGAGAGAACATCTACAGAGAACATCTACACTAAGTCATGTTTGAAAAATTTGAATGGCCCTGACCTTTGCTGCTGCAGTGTGTGTGTGTGTGTGTGTGTGTGTGTGTGTGTGTGTGTGTGTGAGTGTGTGATTGTGTGATTGTGTTTACTCAAATGAGATATGTGTGTAATGTGATAGACTCTAATTGAATTACTCTCTCTCTGGTCTTTTTGTGCAACGGTCTCACACACACACACACACACACACACACACACGTTAATAGAGAGAGAGAGAGAGAGAGAGAGGGAGAGAGATTTAGGACACCTTATTGTGTTTTTAGTTGAACACTGCATTTACCCTGAAGACTACTACTCTTCCCTTCTGTTAAGGGATGCACTGCTCCTGACCTGGTCACAATTAAAACCAAAATTAAAAACATACAGTTCATAATGTGATGTATTTATAATGTCATTTCATTTTTTG